GCTGGCTTTGAACATGGCATACTCCTTGATGTGTCCACTGGGTTCTTGGAGTATGGTGAGCTGAAAATGCAGCCTCGGTAGAACTATAGAACACTTGGAAAAAGTGTTCTTGCATCTTTGTTTTCTTTCTTGAAATCCCTGCATATCCACAACAAGATTGGCACCAAAGGCCATTAGTAGTAACAAGGTTCCACGGTTGGTTCTCTTAAATGGGGGTTCGGTTGGACCATTTTCAAGAAGACATAGGGTAAAGTTTGGTTGAACCAAGGGATGGGAGAGTGGTTGTGAATCTTTGGACCGAATGAGGATCATTTCCTTGGCCTTTCGAGCATTGATGATTCATGTTTGATAACAATGGAGAGTAGGGCAGGGGCTTGTTCATGGATATGAGGATTTGATGGAATTTGAAGGATAAGAAAGATGTTCTTTTTACCCACCAAGAATGAGAAGGTGTTACTGAAGCCATCATATAGCACTCTCTGATCAAACAACCATGGTCTTCCTAGAAGAATGTGGCAAGGATCATGAGCTTTTCTTCTTTTTCTCGTTCTTCCACAATTCTCAATGGTTTATTAACGACCATGAGCTTTTCTTGCTCCAAGAATAATGGTCTCTCATCTTCTTGAACTTGTTTTTGCCTCAAAACTTTTTGTTCCATAACATCTTCAATCAAGGTCACTTTTCTCTTATTTGGACACATGATAGCATAATGTCCAACCTTTTGACAATGGTAACAACCAGGGTTTGTAGACTTGATTGTAGGCAGCTTAGGGAGTGGAGTTGGAGGTACGGTTCTGGTTGGGTTTTGGGTGGGAATAGGTTTAGGGTTCATTTGGGCAGTTGATATTGGTATTGTTGGCGTGGTTTGTTGAGGGGTGAAGGCTGTAGTAGTAAGAGATGGTTTGAGGGTTTCTAGTAAAATATGAGGGTGGTTTGATGAAAGAGTTTGAATGGTTGAGAGAGCAGCGGTTCTGGAGGTGTCTTGGTCATTGGAAGTGGGGGAGGGTCCGGGGATGCTTTGGGCAGTTTGTGGGAAGGCTATAGAGATGGGTTTTGGGGAGTTTT